TAGATGCAGAGCTGTATGATGGAATCCCTTGCAGTGCGAGCACCGGAATTGGGTTCGGCAGGTTGCTATCACATGACCCACCCGCAAACATCGAAAGCAGGCGTTAAACTTTCTGATTTCATCCCTGCGTTTGGTCACTGTCATGGAACGCCAACCCGCGCAATCCTGGATCCAATGATTTCCTTTACACCTGAGGCACAGGGGAGTCACTCTACCCTTAGCCTCCGTTATCTGAGCGGCGTGCATCCTGGCTATATGTTGGCCATAGTTCCTTCTTTGGGATGATTCTCCAAACCCCTCTTTCATATATTCAAGCCGTTGGTCCCCCTTCACTTCTCTCCTTAGGAACTCGAGAAGTCGTTCCAACCTTTGGTCGATGGTTATGGGGAGTTCAAGTTCATCTCCACCATACCCTGCCAGTGCACTTCTCTGCCATATTCTCAACAAGTCTTCTGGCAGACTTGACTCCACCAGGGGGTACAAAAAGGAGGCGTTCTGTTGTGTAGTGACGCCCAATGACTCCAAGGCTCTTAGATGTGATTCGACCTGGTCGTACAAACCTTCCAGCGTTAAGGTCTTTTTTCGTGCATTATTTATCACCAGTTTCAATAGTTGGCGCACGTAGACCTCGGTCAATATCACTTTATCCCCAAACCGATCTTGCAAGGCCTTAACCACCTTTGGATAATTTTCTGTGGTCAGCGGGTAACTCTTGACCAATCTATCTGCTCGGGTACCAGCCTTCATTGACTGCACTAGGTACTGGAACTTTTCCACCTCCGTCAACACTGCACTCTCGTGGATCATTTCAAATCGCGACCACCATCCCATCCACTCGAGACAGGTGCCATCAAAAACCGGGAGTGCCATTTTAGGCAGCTTGCACGATGACATACCCTCCTGGGCGCTCCTAGCAGGGTCCAGAGTGTCCCGGCCTTGTTGCCCAGTCTCCCTGACCTGGAGATATTTAGCCACCCTGCGTTTGGTTCGTACAAAGCTCTCTTCATACTGGACCACCATGTCCTGTTCCTTCTCCAGATCAGGTGAAGATATTGCCTCATCCTCCAACAGCAGATTCATAACCTGCACATTTGCATCCCTAAGTTGGTTTTCAATTGTCTCCAACACTTCAAGTTTTATCCCGATTGTCTCACGAGATGGAGATTCCGTTTCCATTTCTTCCTCGATTTCCCTTATATTCTTTGTTGCAGATGATCGCAATAGAGTTCGGAGTTTCAGATTCTTTTTCATTTTGAATTCTTATCAATGTTTCACTTGGTTAGTTAAATTTGCAAATTTCCTTTTAACTTTCAAACAATTTTTTTAATTTCTTCTGAAGCATGCAAATTTGTTGTCTTTAGAATTCTTTTTTTCTTTTCTCTTCCCTAATTTTCTCAACTTCCTTTGAATCCTGCTCGATTAGGACCAATAATGTTTCGACCTGGGCTGGAGGAGGTGTTTCACCTAAAGGCAACAACTCACTGTACCTCACTCCACCGTGTCTAGAGGACTGTATGGTTGATTTGCTGTTTGAGGGAAGATCCGAACTGCCGGCGACCTAGGGATAAGGGAGGCTGTGTTCTCTGGAGGATGCGGTACTTGGCCCACGGGAGTACGTTTACCAACTAACCACTCAGAAGGATGAGGCCGACACGATTAACTGGTGACTCACAACTACTTTATTTTGCATCACAATATATACAATTAAAATAAACACGTGGCCAGACGTCCGTGGTCAAATCCAATTAAAACAACAAAAAGAATAATAAATTAAAAATAGAAAATATATAACAAAATCCAACAATTGCCTTAAATCAATTTAGAAGTACTTAAATATACGTTGTTGTTGGCGTTCTGCTTATCTAAATTTTTGTTAAAATATTAATTATCCAATATATACCTTTCTATATACCATTAAGAATTGCGTTCTATTTTACAAAAATTTGTTCTTAAATTATATTTTTCAAAAATTCGACAAATATGATAGCTCATCCTCTAGGATGCAATAACTCTGGCAAACTATCTAAGTGGTGATAGAGGAGAAGTGAGATTTTAAACCAAGCAGGTTGGTGTGTGACCATTTCACATGGATCGTTATATCTTTTGATGGAGTATTAATAGATAATATTGTTTTGTTTTTAATATTAACTACACTCACACATACATGGACAAAACTTAAGGAAGTGAAAAGGCTTTGAAGGAAGGTCGTCTCTTTTTTTTTTATTTTTTTTTTTGAAGGAGATAGGCAATTTTGTTTTTGTTCACATTTATTTATTTCGTGTGTCTTTAATAAAGGTCACTGTGTAACAAATATATTTTATAGTTATTGTCTGTATCCCGATATACATGCTAACAGGTACAATTCCTAAAGTTTTATCTATGAGTGTAATTTCATTTAAGATGTAGGTATGATTGGGGTATATCTCTATTTTCCTAATGATGCTGTTTTTGTCTTTTTTTAGATGCGCAGTTCTCCAGAAATAATCTAGGGGGTTTATCGTGTATGTTTCTGTGCATAAAACTTGAGAATTTTTAAAAATTAGTATATGTGCTTTTTAATTGCGTGGTCAACCAGGAGTGATAATAGGCTAATGCTTTTTGAAAGCTGTCTTGTGTTAACTCGTTCTTTCTGGAAAGCTGAGCATTGGAAGACAAAAAACAGCATCATTAGGAAATTAGGTATAACACGATCATACCTACAGCTAAAACGAGCTAAAGTGAAAAAAACTAAATATATTTTATGTTAATTTAATACTATCTGAAGAGATATTGCATCACGTGGATAGAAAGTGTACAAGAGTTGAGTCCCAGAAGATGGGAGACCAGTCTCGTCGATACATTGACAATTAAAATAAACATTTATTGGGATCCAAAATAAGCTATTTAATTATCTAATGTATTCACAATGTATCGCGCTATTTCCAACACAATGATCCCTATACGGTAAAACCATCTAGGAACGACCACTTTTATAAGATCGAAAATGACTATTCCTGGTGGAGGATAACCTCCAATGAGCGACCATCTCCATCAGGAGTGTGTTGGCGGTCCATCAAGAGAGATTCTGTGTTTTGATCAATTCGGTCTGGCTCAGACATAGATAAGAAGTGGAGAGGAATGCGTTACCAACCTATCATCCAATAGGCCAGATCTTTATAGCCCCATAACTCTTGTGGTGTCCGATATAGCGGGGGATTCCGCAGGGCAAATAATTAGGCGCTTGAGCAACCCTGATGGATGGCCCCTGAATTTAGATGGGCATCTCACCTCTCTCCATTTTGATTAACCCAAATTTATCGGTCCCGACTTCAATAATTTATTTCCTCTTTTTCATAACCTATGCCGCAATCCTTGATCCCATATATCGAGGGATCATGTCCGTCTCTATAAGACTTCTCTGACTGAAATGTTTGAAGAGATGTAACAAAGGTAGGCATCGCTGTGGAAGCTTGGCTGGATCCTAAATGTGGATTTAACTGACTCATCTATTGGCATTATGAACCTCTATATGTAAATATGTTTAGTTGTGTGTAATCATTATATAGTGTTCTCTAGTAAAATTATGTTCCCCATATTTCTCCAATGTTTATGTCTTAACAAACAATTCACATGACTTAATCGATCTGGATAACCGAGAGAGTACGATCAACAACAGATTCGGACAGATAAGAATCAGATATAGACAGTAGTTATACATACAGCTCCCAATATCAAGAACAAGATAGATTTCAGTATCACAAGTTTCACCCAGACATTGAGATCTTACCACAGATAAACGCAGATAGACAACAATACATATATCTCCCAATATCAACAACCAGATAGGGTTCAGTACCACTATTTTCACCCATGTATTAAGACACTACCAGCAACCATAAACACAAATATATAAGTATACTCATGACAACACATTTAGCTAGAGTGAGAGTAACAACAGATACACGTAATGACTACAGACTGGCAGTCTGTCAGAATGTCAAACCAGACGGCGCCAACCTGTGCTCCACCGAAGTCCTACACAAATCTCATCTAGATATGGATATATAAAGTCAACATTAATCATAAATTGTGAAAAATAATTTAACTTGTAAACATTTCATATTGCAATTTACACTATTCACATTAGAGATATATACAATTAATATAACAATTGTATCGTTTCATAGGTTTTATAATAAATCTCATACACTGAGACTCCATACAGTTCCGATAACGGACAGAGTGTATAGCAGCAGACAGGCGACGGCAGGAAGGGCTCCAATTAGGGAGGAAACGGCCCCCGACATCATAAATTACGATCTCTGCGGATGGCGACACGTAAATCTTCCCCTTTTAATCCTCCGCTGGTGACTGCAGCAGGTGCTCGACACCTTCTATTCCTGTACTGGGAATGATTACATTTCGAGCGGCTCATTGTCAACTATCCCAATGTGTGATTCTCAATATTTATATATACACATTCGTGGACAAAACTTAAGGAAGTTGTACCTTTTAGCATGTATATCGGGATTCAGACAATAACTCTGAAAGATACACAGTGACCTTTATATGATACTAGCCGAATGACCCGGGCAACGCCCCTGTTTTACCCGATTGAATGTTTTGATTCAAATACTATTTGTTACAATTATAAATTGGCGCCTTAAATAAATGCATATGTTAGTTAATAACTATAGCCTATGTGCTTTATCTGTCTATGTACTGTTGGCTTCCGTAGGCGTCTCTTACAGGGGAAAAGAAAGAGAGGATTCCATTTGGTTATTAACTAATATATGCATTTATTTAAGGAGCGACCCGCTCCAACACAATAATTACATAAACGAAAAGGCGAGTGGGGGGGATGACGAAGGTGGCGTGACCGTAGCCAACCAATAGGAGGGCGCCATTCCAAAAAAAAAAAAGCAAACGGTGACAGAGATGAAAACTGATGACTGATTGTTGATTAGGAGATGAGGAATGACGCTCGTAACTGTATATAGAATATACAAACGGAAAAATATGTCCAGGTTAGCCTAGTGGACATGGCATCTGCCCAATAAGCGGAACACTGTGGGTTCGCTTCCCATCCTTGGACACTTTTATTTTTCCGTTTATCATTACTATTCACAATTCATACTTCATCCCTAAGTATAGAAATAATCGTTATATCTCCTTAAAATAAATTACGATTTTTCGTTCAAAAGAAACATTTGTGGTAAAATTGTCAAACATCGTTCTACAGTGACCTTTATTGAAGACACACGAAATAACCAGGTGTAAACAAAATTGCCTCTGTCTCCTTCAAAAAAAAAAAAAGAAAAGAAAAGAAAAAAAAAACGACTACCGGCGACATCAAAGACTTTTTACGTCCTTAAGTTTTGTCGATGAGTTTATTTCCTCTAGTTGAGAAATGTTTCTTCATTGCTCTATTCTCAAAATTATCTATTATATTTATAAAATTTATTATGAGTGTGTGTGCATCATTTTTTAACGTGCATTAATATATATATTTATTGAATACTAATAAAATATTAAAATTTTGGTAAGTGCATAATAAAAAATATCTTGCAAAATATTTGTAAAATTTTATGATGGATATGCCTCGCGCAATTCTAACGTCATATATATTTATTGTTTAAATAAAGCGCATATGTAAATATGAAAAATACTCCCTCTTATGCAAATTTTCTTTAAAAGAAAAAACATAAAAACTATTATGATTAACTTTGAGCAAAAAATAAAGCATAATATAAATTATAGAAGCCTTTTATAAGTATATTTAAAATTTTCTAGTGCTAAATCTCTAGTTAGTAGGACCTTTATGGTTTAATCAATACAACTACTCATCGTGTTCACCGAGATTGGGTTGGTTATCTTAACCATTGGTTACATTTTAAACACCTTTTCAGAGCTTAATGACTATAATATATTTTAATATTCAAAAATCTCTTTACAAATTTTATTCCAGGATTTGTTAAAATAAAAATTAGCACTTTATATATGAAATATGCCTAGTGTCATCATAGAAATATACTTCCCTTGTTTGGATTGAAAGATTACATATCGAATTGAAGTTGCATAACCCAACCTACAATGTGAGGCACTCTTCAGGAGAAACCAGAAGTAGTTTTGGCAATGGTCTCTCATGACTGCTGTTTATTGGTTCTATCTCCCTTGTAACCAACCTCGTCGACTGACCTGGTGTTGGCTGTTGCAGATGAAGAAGACGACGCCGGACAAGAGGACAGCGTTCCCTCGCCCTGTCCTGAAGACCTTCCACTCCCACTCACTAAGTGCACACCATCTCCAGACTGCGACAAGCCTCTGGACCTCTCCCTAGAGAAGAAACCCGTCACATGTGAAGTCACAGCACCCCAAAAGCGCAGGCGCACCAAGAAATCCCTTCCAGTCAAGAAACTGCTCGAGCTTGAAAGGACGAGGTCTGTGAAGCGGCCGCAGAACGGCCCGACTCTCAAAACATCATCACAGGACTTAAGTTCTTCAGAGCATCCCCTGATGCAGCTGCAGAGACTACTCGACCTGGCGGGCGAGGCCCCCTGGACAGTGCCCCTGCGGTGCAGCGTGTGCCAGATCTCCCTGAAGAGTGTCTCGGAGCATCGACTCCATCTCGAGCGCCATCACCTGGCCTACTGAACTCGTTGTTGAGAAGGCCCAGTCGCAACCTTCCTGCCTTACTCCATGTACATAGCCGTGATTTATTTTTTAAGGCTCCTATTGAAGAAAGAGGTGGAGAACTAAATAAACGTTAAGGCATTATCTATCGGTAGTGTCTTCAACAATATCTACATCAAACACCACTCAGTATAGCTAACCCAGGTTGACAGCATACACATAGTACTTTTTGTACAGCCCAAAGGAAATGTCTTTTTAAACTGATGAAATACATACATAATATATTTAGCCAACCCCTAATGAACATATCAGAATAACACATATACTTCAGAGAACACTTGTCGACAGTTGTCGCAAATTTAGGGGAATAATAAGAAATTTACTAATACTTATTTAAGCCCCAGCCTATGTCACAAGAATGATTGTGTTAACATGACTGGGCTTATGCCTTCAATCCGAATATCCAGTTTTAGCTCATTTTGTGCCACGCAAGCCCCTCCCTCATAGTCAGCTCTACAACCCATCTTGACCTGAAAAAATTATCTTATTTGTTCCCATGTGGATAATGTAACATCAAGTGGATTCTAAACACACGTGTGTTACGTAGCAAGCAGATTGAAGTTCTGTGACAACTCAATAGTTAGCGAAGACATTCCTCAAAAACATCGATAAGCTTTCTGTTTTATTCATACCATAGTAAGAGAGCTAAGATTTTCAAGGGGAAAAAAATGTTATTATTGTTTTTATTTTGTTCATTGAATCACCAAAGTTTATTGAATGTGTTAATACACAAGAAGCATATGTATTTTTACATGGGTGTAGCAGTTCGATTTGTTGTCTACTGTAGAATTTTGATAATTCAGTATAATAACATTCCGATATGGATGTTGATCATTATGGAACACCATTTCACCATGTCCTAAGATTAGGACACACACACAATTTTCTATAATATTACTCAAGAGTTTATGCCAGACACACTGGACCCTAATATAGGTTTATGAAAAAAGAGAATATTCTATCAGAGAAGGTAAATTCTATTCTGAACCAACGGCAGATGATGCTCCTCATAGGCTTAATTAACAACTCAGCTCAAACCTGGTACAATGAGCACACTTATACAATACCAGCTCCATCTTGGAAAGTTCTTATAATTGTAGGACAAAAGCAGGGCTGGTGTTCCATTGGCTGGCTAACCTCTGTATCCGAGTTGGCACATGATGATAATACAAGGTAATTAAATATCAAGTGGAACTGTACATGTACAAACACATCAAGACGGAGTATCAGTCCTGACTAGAGAGTTCCATCTGCCCCGACCTTAGGTGGCCATAATTGTAACAGTAGTCTGTGTAGTTCGACCTTTGGTGGAGGATATGGGAGAGGTTTTATGAAGGTGTCGAGAGAAGTAGAGACTCTGAAAGTTAAGATCATCTTGTAGGTCTTTCTCGTAAGTGTCTTTAACCCACTAGATCAGCTAAGCTATCGGTATTTAAATGTTTGGATACAAATACTTTTAACCAGATTCTATAAATACTTAATAATTCAATGTGATTATGCATGATTAAATATTTACTTTACAAGCTATTTTTAAGGTACAGATTTTTTCTCCAATACCTGTGTGTGCTCCTAAGAGATATTTTAGATGACTGAGAATATATTCTAACGGAAAATCAAACTTTGGTTGATGTAAATAGAATTAAAAAGGATTAATTTTTATCTATATTCTCTAAATCAGAGGTCTCTGTGGTGAGTTTAGTGAGGTAACGGTTATTTTATATATTTCCTGTTGGTTATGGAGTGGCCGTGGGACCGACCACTTGTTCTTGCGTGAGGAATGCTTCTTCCGCTCGTAAACCGACGTCTCACGAATGCCCCTGTACCTTCTTGTGCACTATTCTCAATCATATTTAAGTAAATAATTCATATGAGGTATTCTCATAAAAATCGTGAAATGAGGTATATCCTTATAAAATTACGCGCTTTAAAATGGATCGCTAGATTCATACTTAAGTCCAAATCCATCAAGCAATCAAACGGCTAACAAGAAATCAAAGTTGAAATAAGATAAATAGCACGCTGTGTTACAGAACAGGTAGATAGCCATCACAATGACCTCTTCTTTGCTACCTTGGAATGGGTAAAAATACGCATCTCTCACACAAAGCAAATGATTTTATTATTCAACAATATAGCAGAATGGGGAATGTTGGAATGGGGCCAAGACTATGAGTATTATTTCTAAAGGTTTTGTTTATGTCCTTCCATCACATATAAGTTTGTACTTCTACAGGGCGGTCAGTCTGGTGTTCCTTTATACATTGGTCCACCATTGCCTCTCCAGGATTGTCTGAACTGGAGCAATTATAACCTCTTCTAGGGTTATTGAGAGATTCCTGCTGTATGTATAGGCTCTTGCATTGCAATGAGGTTACTTATTTCATTTTAAAAATAGCTTTTATCACCAGTTGATCTGTTTAACGAATTGCATTTTGAATTATGTATCTCTAATATGAATTCTGATGTTGTTGAACATTAATATTATTTGTATTATATAAGTAATTTTTAATAGTCATATATTAATGAATTATTGATGTCATTGTTGTCGTATCATTATAATAAATTCAGAAAACGAGCTCACATTTTAAATAAATAATTGTACGGCGCCATCTCCTTTAACACATTTTCGAGAAACAAATTCGTGACCTTTTGTATTCTTTCCATTTAGTCTTCGCAAGTGCGTGTACCATGATAAAAGATAAACATATACAACAACACATAACAAATACAACAAGAGTTAACTCCATAAACACAAAATAACACCATAGCATATCAACAAAAGATAGTTTTCCATTGAAATGGCTAGGATAAAAAGTAAATGTACACAGAAGAATGGAGATAATTCAGATTTCATTGTTAACACGATCAAATGCTCAATACATTGAAATATCTAAGTGCGATGAAAAGGTTGTTGACTAAAATTTCAGAGTTTGAGTGAATTTTATTCTTTTATTATATGGGACGGTATTGTATTGAGAGTTAGAGAGTTGTGTAAAGATCTGTTCATTGCGTTGGAAAATTTCGGTGTTTGTATTCCTTCAAGTATTAATCAAGCCTTTTATGTTTTGTACATTGTAGTGTATGATTTTGACATTTTTGAAACCTGGGTTGGTTTGCTGCATGCGTTTGAAAATTAGCGAATTTTGATATTACGTTTTTTTGTGTGTGTTTCAGCGATATAATTGTAGCACGCTATTAACAGGGTTGTTGTTGTTGTCGTGTCCAATGAAGATCTTCAGATGTCTCCATGCATCTCTATCACAGCGTTTTGCTCTTCATTGGAAAAAGGGTGCCGTTACCACGTTATTCACCTTGGAAACGAACCAGAATTTGGTGGAATATTCCAAGGGTCCAGGGGGGACCGCAGGGAGGTGTGGTTGGACTTCTCCCTCCCAAAATAAAA